TTCCATACACGTGATCCTGCTTTCCTAGAAATGAGCTGGAGAATTCGTCTAGATAGACCACAACGTGAGGAAGGCAAGAGAAAGAGGAAGCAACCCAATGCTCTCTAAAGCGGTTACTGTTCCGCCTGCTTCCTGCAAATTAGCAAGGAGTGGAAGTGGAGCAATCAATTAACGTATAGATCAGAGGAAATTATGTCGGTAGTTATAAAACTATAGGGGCCATTTTAAATGGGCTGCAGGTAGGAAGCCAGATGAGGAGACAAGTCTTTTCCTCTTTGAAAGGTGAGGCAGCGTGCTTGCAGCAGTCCACAACCCTGCACTGCCCAGCAGTCACTCTTATCCAGTAGTTTACAGATCACTGGCAGGCCAGAGAAAAAGGAGGTACATGCTGCTCACTGTCCCGTTTCCAGCTTTTCACTCTCCATCACTATAAAGTAGACAGGATTTTCCTACTGCTTAATTTTCTACATGGGTTGAAGGGAGGTCTGGAAAGTAAATGCACAAGGCTAGCAGGCATCAGCTTTATGAGAATCATCCTTATGAAAGAACAGAACAGTTCCATTTTACCTTAATATCTTCTATAACATCCGCAGCCAGGTGACAATGTAGCACTACATGAGACACAAACAGACCCCAGATCTTTTTTAAAATTTTTGTAGCTTTTGCCAATATTCGGAAGTAGCATTGGGTAGTGCATTTATGCTCCATTAGCAGAGCTTTATGATTAGCTAGTTAACCCAGGGAATATTTTAACTAAGTAACTGGACATAGTTTGCTGCCTCTGCCCTGCACACCCCATCAGATTGCTGAAGTCAGCTTATACAAGATTAGTTTTTGTAGAGGCACGTCCAAATTACACGTTGGTTTTGTTTGTCTTCACTTACCTCTCCATTTAGTTTCTTTAACTTCAGAGGAAGGGGCAGTAAGGTCAATCTTTCAGGGTTTGACAGAAGCAAAATTATCTCAAATCAGTAGCTGATAAATCAACACTGATACACAAGTCTTATTTAGGAATGAGATAACTTGAACAAGACTTTGCCCCCCCCAAAAGAAACCCTTAGTTTGCAAAATACGGCTATTTTATTTTCATTGAAATAAATACACTGTCTTCTTATTCAAAACTTACCCGCCTGCCTCTGACAACAAAATTAAAGTCTGAATGTATTGGCACTGCCCAGTTTGTAACCATACAATAAAAGGCTCCGAGTGCAGTTCTGAAAATACCCCCCACAAGAAGAGCCCAATCATGCCATATTTGATATGGTACGCAGGCATTATATGTTCAATTTATAGGGAAAATATTCCCATTTCCTGGATCAATGGACAAGCTTAAGTTGCAATTTGAGTTAACTTCTTCTCCACCTACTTAAGGTCTGTAGGCTAAATCCAGCCCTGACTGCGCATAAGTTTAACTAATTGGAACTCAGTCAAATAAATGTTGTTGATAATCACAGAAAAATAGGACTGAGAGGGAAGCTTAAGAGGTCATTTAGCCCAAACCCCTGCTCAAGGCAGGATAATTTTTGTCTAACAATTCTATACACATTTTTGTTGAACTAACCCGCTTCAAAATATCAAGGATGGAAATTCCACCACCTCTTCAGTTATGCAAAAGGGAGGATGAAATCCAAATGTCTATGATTCTGTTGGCTTTGTAAGGCAAAGAGGAGTAGAAAGCGGCACGAAAAATCCTAAAGTCAGCAGGGAGACTGAATGTGCAGGATAAAATTAGAACCACTGAGTAGTAAGGAAGCATGTTTGGTTATTTTCCACAGCAGAATTGAATCCCCCAGGGCAGGGGGTCGGACTCAATGATCTATTGAGGTCCCTTCGGACCCTAACAACTATGAAACTGAATTTTAAGTTCTTTACACGTACAACGTGCTGGAGGATCACACAAAGCTTGATCTCTTGATGCTCCAACATCAAGTCATTTCATTCTCTTTTCTTCCTCCTCCAAATCAGGGCCCTCCAGGATTAGAAGTCTGTCATTTGCTATTTTTTAAATGGTTTGACAGCAGAAACTCAGCACCACTCACACATTGGCCTTCTACTGTACAAGAAGCTGACATACCTTTATGTCAGTAGCTGTGTCTCAACATGAACTTAAACAGATGACAGCTATGTAAAAATACAGGTTGGATTTTATTATGATTATTCATATTTTTACCATATTTATAATAGCTCACCACCACTTTTTTCTGATGCCCTGTATGTTGAGAATTTAGTTGTAAAAGTAATGGGCATTTGAATATATGCACGTGCCGCAGCAGCAGGTGCGTTGAAAAGCGCCTGGCACTGCGTGTGCAATTGTATAAGCAGCAAAATGCACGTCAGCGCTGAGAAAGTGGTGGCGGCACACTTCTGAACCAAAACACGTGGGAAGTGCTTTAGTTCAAAAGCGCACCACCGCCATTTTCTACGTGCTGATGCACATTTCGCCGCTTATACAACACATGGCGCAGCGCAGCTTGCATCAGCTGCTCCAAAGCAGTGGATTTCCAGTGCATTGTGGGACGAAAACGTGTATAAGTGCCCAATGATTACATAGCTGAAGGCAGTATAGCAAGAAACCATATAACTGGTACAATTGTCTTAGCACAGGAATGTAAACTACCATGCAGTTATGACTGCAATGATATCGTGCACAAAGTCGAGTGATGTTAAGTTATATAGGAAGCGGGAATTTTAGCCCCTGTCAACTCACAAAACTTGTATCACCTTAACTAAAACAGTAATTAAAGCAGTAAACCCAGCCCGTTTGGATGCATCCACAATATAATAATGTATATACCATATTAACAAAGGGGAACAAACTATGCTATGCCCACATTAGGGGTTGTACCAGTATCATTATTTCTGTTAAAAAGCCATCTCCTGATTAAAAGAAATAGTTATACCAGTACAAAACATGTAGAACAGGTCCAAGATCATTTGGCCTTGTAGTTTGTAAAGGGGGAAAGTTCTTGGTGCTCAGGGAACAGCAGTCATTAGTTAATTTGTCAGATTAGTAAGGCATGCACTCACACTCAAGGTTTCTCCCCTAAAGTGTCTGAACTTACCCCAGACCAGAGCATGTTCTTGTTAGTGGTGGTGTACATTAACATGCAAGGGAAATACAGTATCACCCCTTAGCAAAGGTTAATAAGCTTTGCCATGAATTCATTCAGCTGTCATTTGCTTTTCCCATATATCTTCTTTACCAATCCTGTTGATTAATAAGACGTTCTTTAAGTAACAGATGTTTTCTGCTTCCCAGGGATTTATCCAGTGATGGCAAACTGCTGTGTGCATATCAATCACTTCCATAGGGATGAGCAGTGATAAAGCAAGCTAATCCAAATATCACTGCATGAACATAGTATAAAAACAAGGCAGGCAGACTGTAAAGAAGTTTTATATACCTCTCTCTTGGAAAACCTGTAAAATTATGTGCAAGTTTGCCGCTGATACCAAACTACAGTTAACACACCAGAGGGTAGGGAACGGATCCAGGCGAATCTGGACAGGTTGGAAAAATAGGCAGAATGAAATAGGATGCAGTTCAACAAAGACAAGTGCGAAGTGCTGCACCTGGGCAAAAAGAGCCACCAATACACTTACAGGCTGGGGGATGACCTTCTCAGCAGCACAGCAGCAGAAAGGGATTATGACTCCAAGATGAACGTGAGTCGTCAATGTGACGAAGTGATCAACAAGGCTAGCCATATTTTATCATGCATTAGCAGATGCATGACGAACAGGTCCGGGGAGGTGATGCTTCGCCTCTATGTGGCACTGGTCAGGCCTCAGTGGGAGTACTGCGTCCAGTTTTCAGCGCCGCACTTCAAGAGGGATGCAGAGAATCTCAAGAGGGTTTAGAGGCTGCTCGTATGGTCAGAGGCCTGCAGGCAAGGCACTATGAGGAGAGACTGAGGGACCTAGAGCACTTCAGCCTTCACAAGAGAAGGCTGAGAGGTGATCATGTGGCTACCTATAAATTCATCAGGGGACAGCAGCAGGGAATAGGAAATGCTCTATTTACTAGGGCACCCCCTAGAGTAACTAACTAGGAACAATGGCCACAATTGACAGAGAGCAGTTTCAGGTTGGACATTAGAAAGAACTTCTTCACAGTAAGGCTTACCAGAATCTGGAATGGGCTTCCTAGGGATGTGGTGCTCTCCCCTACCCTGGGGGTCATCTGACCCCAGGGCTCTTTCCTGCCCAGGGCAGGGGGTCAGACTTGATGATCTGTTGAGGTCCCTTCTGACCCTAGCATCTGTGAATCTATGCAAGTTTGCTGAGAGGTGGGGAGGGTGTTGAGTAGGTAGAATGGGATATTGATCCTTTTTGGTGCTTTTAACAAGGATTCATCAATACCAGCTAAAAACTTTAATACAACCCTTTTAAAGAGCGGAAGGGAAAAACAGAACTAATGGGAGAAAACATACTGAGGAACAAAAGAGAGAGGAGACTAGTCCTCTCAGCTGTTTAACTTTACTTTCAACACTCTAGGGTGTTAACACAGCTTTGTTGGTCTCCTCCGAGCCCTCAAGTTGCATGACTTTATGAAAAATATTTAGATTCATGTTACAATATGCATTAAAAGATCACTGGATGATACCAGAGCTTCAGGGGGAAACAAGAAATACTGTCAATGCACCTTCCTGTTAGCATGCCCACTCCATGTCCTCCCACAGGAGTGCCAAGAGCACAAGAAAATCTAGGATGGATTAGGAATGGCAAAAACTAGGAGGGAAGTCATATATCAGTGACATGCCCTAGAAACTGAAGATACCAAGTAAATCTTTAAAACTGCCGATATCTCGTCCACCGTGAAGTCACAGGAGCCCTCTGCAAGAAGTGCCAACCTAGCACATGGTTCACTTGGCATTTCCCTCCCCCAAGTCCTGAACATGAGAGATGTACCATTTCAAATGCATCCTAGCCTGAACAGCTTACGCTGGCATTGCACAGAGACTCCAAATGGACTTGATACAGACTAGAAAAAGCTCTGCTTTCTGTGAGAAACATTTAATTGAAGACAATGAGTTACAGGAGAACAAACTTACAGAATAACCGTAACAGACTGTTCAAAAAAAAGGAAAAATAATTCTAGCTGGCAACTGCACCAGACAAGATCCCCCAAACCAACGTCTGGGACAACAGCAGCACAGTACAAATTCAGTCTTCTTGGAGTACTCTGAATGAGCAACAATACTGAGGAACTGTTTAAAGAAAGGGTTAATATAGCATTATTCCCTTTGGCATAGGACACTTCTCAAGGAACTTAAGCCTACTTAAGCCAGTACAGCAAACTATTCCCAAAGGAGGTCATTACTTTCCAGGAAATGCCCCCTGGGGCCTCACGGTTATTGCTAATCGTTCCTATATGACAAAGGCTCTGGGAGCTACATCTTTCCCAAGTTTTGGGATACCAATAACTCGCACAACTGGATGATGGTACAAGATTTTAATCCACCATTTTATATTGTACTCTCAGCTGATGCTTTCAGATATGAATTATGCATGGATATCCTAAGACTAAAGAATTTGCAACCTAGTGGATATTTTCTTCAAGCTATAAACGTTCACTTCACTACCTCTCCCTGGATGAATTATTTTCATCCGTGGCTAAATTTCCCCTGCTATTTGCTCAAAGATGTACTAGAAGAGACTGGGGAATCATTCAAGGTACCCATGGTGAAGCCAAATACTTATAAACACATTAAGGCAGGTTCCATGTCATTTAGTTTTGGACACAGATTGCTGGTCACTCCACTGCACATGCAAATAAGAAAGATTCAACACTTAATAAAAAGCATTAGATTCATTTTGATATAGAAAAATCTTTTTTTTTTTTCTTTTCTTGTTTTAAAAGAGGTCAGAACATTACTACACTTGAAAAGAGATGTGTAGACAAGCCTATGGGAATGAGTCTCCTTCCCTCCACACTCACGTAACAGAGGTTGGGGTACATGGCACCAGAAGAGAAAGGAGGATTTTTTTCCTCATAGTTGACCAGAAATGAGTCATTATGCTGTACTCTCCTTTTTAGCGGTCGAGATCTTTCTAACCAGACTTGCATCAAAGCTGAACACTCCTTATACCACATGCTGATATATATACCTTTGGAAAACCTAACGGGCTATATGTTTGAACACACACAATTTTCCATACCAAGCATTGGCAGCTAGCGCATTTTACATGGTACAAGAACTAGCTATGAAAACAGGTTGTCGCTGATGCAAGACTGATCCCAACTGTACCTTCCCCAACTCATCATAGTGTCAAACAGAAGCAGCAGAGGCTTTTCATCTCTGAGACTACGCTTCAAGTCCAATGTGGTCTTGTGAGGCAAATGAAATTCAGTCACCTGAATTCACGTATGGAATGACAATCCACAACATAAAGTGACCTCCTACAGTCTGGTACAAACTGGTAGCCTACAGCAGAGTAGCCAAGGACTGAATGAGGATCTCTCATCTGTGTCAGAGAGAAAACTGTTTTTCAGGTTCACCACTAAATATACTTAGAAGGGCCTGGGGGAAAAAAAAACAAAACAACTGACCACATCTTATCACTGACTGATGAATAAAATAAGGAATTTGGTTTCTAGTATTAAACTTTGCACCACTTTTATATCCCTTTCCCCCCTCCCACTTTTGTATCCCCCACTGCCCTACAATTTTAGAAAGAGAAGGAAGCAGAGTTTAGTCAAGTTCCATCTTCAAAACTGTTCAGCAATTAATGAGTCTTCAGATTCTCAACATTTTTCCTGAAGTGGACATCAAACATGCTCACAGGTACTGTTGGACGGTTGGTGCAATTTACTCTGCAGACACTCTTGGCTTTGTAAATAGTTGTGCTGACCCTGCTGATAGGGTTTATACTGGGAATTCTGAGACGGTACTCCCTAGAAGAGAGGGGGAAAGAGAGAGAGAGAGAGAGAGAAGAGTCAGTAAAGTCATAAGGTACCTTTACATTTTTACAGCAAATGGTCTCTTTGAAGATGAGGGTGGTGTCTTGTCTAGATCTTCAATACTCTGCCTCCTTGGCCCCTATTCTCTACTGCAGCCTCTTACCTTGCTGGCTGCTGTTGCTTCAGCCTCAGAAATTATAAGAAAGCTAATTGAGTGAAAATGGCAGAAGAGAAAGCAACCCAAATATAAAAGCAGAGTCTTTCCAAGCAAATCCTATGAGAACAATCATCTCCCTGTGTGGAGGGGAGGAAAACAAAAGTCATTCCTGATCATACATGGGCCTCTCTCTCAGGCAGATTTCTTCTTTCTCCTGTTCCATCTTAGGGACTCTTTCCTCCTCAAAGATTTTATTTCTTGGCTTACAGGCTCACAAAACTGCAATCTTTTCAATGAAGCACCAGGGATATTGGCCATCCCATTCCAGTGACAGAACTGTTCTTGGGGTATAATTTAAAATGAGCAGTGACTGACCTCTGCTTTGTCTCATTGCATGAATTTAATTGACAGTACAAATGACTCCTGACCAGGATTACATCAAAGCAGAGCAAGGGAACAGAAACATTGTTCTTCCCCACCACAAAACAGCTCCTTATGCCCATGTACTGCATTTCATATTATACTAACTGAAGTATCTTAGCTTGGTCCTACATGAATCATAGAAAATAAAAACTCTGCTTCTACTTTGAATTCTCTGAGTCAGTTTATAAGGCAACAGCCTTATAAGGTCTACTTTTACTTTTAAAATGTTCCCTTGTAATCAGCACCGGTAGAAGTCATGTACATTAAAAGGGGATGATACATTCTTTTGGAAGGCAATTTTAAAAGGAACGGGGAATGGGGAACTTAGAAAGCACAATCCTGTCAAAGTGTTGATCCTACTACTAATACAGGCAGCACCTAAGATTGCACTAACTGAAAGTCTGTTTCTTTTTTTCAGTTCACTGAAAATGCCCGAGACCACCTTGTATATTCAGTTGCTCGCTTTTTGATGGATAGATTGCACTTCCTAGCTCTTGGACACAGTTCAGAGTAAACCTCAGGCACAGACTCTATCCAAGTCCTACAAAAGAGTCTTTACTGGTAAATCGAAAGACAGCTGAAGTGAGAAGAAAATGAACTGAATTCCCAAGGAAAGATGGTAAGCACATCTAGTGAGGCTGCCCCTCATGCCCAATAATTCTGCCCTCCTGGGAGTGGCCTAAATACTTTCACAATGGAAAACAGGAAAAAATATTTAAAAAAATCCAAGATGTTATTTAAAGCATGCATTTTCCAAAGATTTTCTAAGAACTTTCAGCATTTCTTTAAAGGCACTAACATATTAAGTGCATTTAGCACCTGTGAAGAAAACATTCCTTGATCAAAGAACAGTTATAAAACATAAAGCAACAAAACAAGCTCTTGGCACGTATGGTCTCAACCAAAGTATTTCAATTCCAGGTCTGAACACATTGCTTAGCCTCTATGCCAGTGGTTCTCAACCTTTTCAGACTCAGCACCCCTCAGAAAATGCCCTCTTCATTATCACTTGTTTTTTGATTATAGGAAAATAACAGAGCAATTCTTGTTGCAAAGAACTCAGGAAGGCCATAACAGGTCAGAATGTTTTTAACACTGTGAATTCCTATTTGAAATTTCTGGGTTTATCTTGTGAATCACGCTTGCACAATTATCAGCGGTAAGAACACATGACATGCCACAGCACTTTTGAAAGGATCTCAAGGGACACCAGGGTGCTGCAGCCCCCAAGATGAGAATCACTACCCTATGGTAAGACTCCAAAGAAGTATAATTTCAGGTCCAACGGTGTTTTTGGGACAAACATTTATCAATCTAGAACAAAGCACCCCCAAATTAATTTCAAATTAGATAAACTTCAAGTCACCTACCTTTAACAACTGAATCCTTGAGAAATTTAAAATGAATGAATGGTTCCAAGATGTATGCTAAACCCACGTTAAATGAAGCCACTCAGCTTTAAATTGCATGAGAACAGCATTAGTCCCAATTACTGCCGCATTATTTAGTGCAGATTATAAAGTGAGAAGGGAGGTAACGGAGCAGAATGACCAAATTACCTGGACTATACATTCTCCATCTCTTGGTCATGGTCCTGTTCCTCCTCCTCCTCTTCTTCCTCTCCCTCTTCATCTCCCCCTTCCTTCTCTAAGGGTGCTTCCCCATCTCTTGCTATTTCCTCCACATGGGCAAGCATGTCAGCCATCAGCGCTTCTTCCAGCCTCTTCCGCACCTGCTGCACCAGCTCCTCCTGCTTCCTGCCAGAAATAAAAAAAAACCCTCTCACATTACTTCTAGAAGATGGTAAGTTTGAGGGATTTAACTTCCCTTTCCTTAAACATAAGATGAGAGTTGATGGAAGAAAGAGCTAAAAAGAAAGTCCCAAAAGGGTCCTTTTTTTTTTTTTTTTTAAATAAACATCCCAACATCATGGTACCAATGGAGCTGGTATGCTTAAAGTTGTCTTACACTTCCCATTAAAAACAAGTGAAAACAGGCTCTTAATTTTACCAAAAACGTAGCCCTTTAAGAAGAAATTTTCCAAGTCTGACTGCCACGGGTTGTGGGTATCTATATTTCTAGGGTGAGGAAGAAAAGAATGCATCACTCAAAAGTTTCAATCATTTCCAAGAATAGAAGTCAGGAAAAAACATCTTGCTCATTTTTTAAAAGTTAAATCACACCTTTCTTTGAAGCAGACTTGAAATGTGGCACAAGGGGTCTGTGTGTCAGAGATGTCCCTTTTGCTACCTTGTTCAAATTTAGCTAAGTTATAAGACTGAAAAATTTAGGCTTAGCTTTTAGCAATTAAATTCTTTGAAGACCAGCTGTGAATGGAGGCCAGCATGTTGGGAACCAGGCAGAGAACGGACCTGACGCCACAAGGAAGAGATATCAGATGAAGTCACGGGCCTGGGTAAAAACTAGAACTGGGATAAGAAACTTAGGTGAGGTGTGGAAACAGTCGCTGAGACTGCAGGAGGAACCATGGGTAAAGAAAATGAGTTCAGGAGCCAAAGAATTTATTTCTTGATTAGAATGATATGCTGCCCTTCCCAAAAAGGCTACTAATGGCTGGATAAGGGAACTGGAAATGCAGGGAGTAAGGGGGAAGAAGACTGCATTGGAACAGGGAGTCTAGAGGAGTTGATACTGAGCCTGGAATAAGGAGTGGAAATTAAGGCTGGATAGACAAGAATGGTAATATAATGAGGAGTTAAAGTAAGAGAAGACACAGAGCTGGGTTTAAGTAAAGGGGTCAGATGGAAACAGCCAGGAAAGTTCATCACCATTACATCTCACTCTCTTAGGAAGTCCATGGAAATCAAGATTCCCGTCTCACCAGTAATATATATATTCCCTGTCAGCAAATACACATTAAACCCACTGTCAAGTGGGTTATTCCACTACTCTTACTGCACAACAGTAACAGGTTGGCATCCTTTCACAGTTACTTGATTAGCATAAATGACAAAGATGGTCTCATGGATCTAAAGATTCTACGCCTGCTCGTAACTATGCAACCGACGATAATGACATATGGTGGAATTTCTGGTTATTTCAGTTCATAAGGTTAAAAAAAACCCAAGGAATTTGCGCACACACTCATTATGGCAAAAGAACATAAGCTGCGAAGTCAAGCACACAATAGTTAGGAAATGCCAGAAATAATTCAGGCCTCCCGTGCATTTGAATAAGTCTTTTCTTCCATGATCACATACTTTCTCCCCACCTCCTCCCCCTACGTTTTTTTTTGTGTTTTTTTTTTAAAAACAGGACCACTGCCTGCCTCAGTGCAAGGTGAAGGGTGGATGGACCTGCTTTTGGCATGAATCCAGGCTCTTGTGCAGTGAAAAATATTGTTGCTGGAACACTGGCTTCACTTGTTCAATAGCTGGAAAGAGGAAGGGGATTGCAAAGAGAGAAAGGAAGGTCTCATGGTTAAGCCACATGAATGCCCCCTGGAGAACTAGTTTATTCCTGCCTATGCCACAGAGTGCACATGTGACGCTATTCATGTTACCTAAATTTTTCAGAACGGCCACTAAATTGTACATCCCTCAACTACAAGGGCATAATTTGGGATCCAGGAGCTGACTTATGGAAGTGTTGAGCGCTCACACGTAACTGAAATCAATGAGAGCTGTACTTTGAGCTTGTAAAAGCCTATAAAACGCCAAGTTCTGTGAAAAGGCAAGTTCTAAGTGCCTTAAATTGGGCACTCAAAATTACTGCACATTTTGGACTAACATTTCTGTGACTCATAATATCTGAGTTTCTGATAAATTGGGGACAATGCCCTTCCATCTCACAAGGCGTAAGTTTAACGATGCTCATGAAACATTATAATGCTAATAATAGACACCGTCTAGCAGTGACATTAAACTAGTCTGGCCCATTAGGCCAGATCAATAGTCCAAGGCTGGCCCCATGGGCCAGACTGGGCCTACGGACTCTTCTACCCACCCACATGGCTGGATCTTATGCCTGCACCACCCGCTTTGACTAGTCTGGAACTGCACCACATGCAAGAGTCCCGAAGGGCTTGTACAGGATGCATGCTGTGTGCAGCACCTTTTCCAGCCAGTCTGGGCCCTCTGCTGCATAGGGTGTGGGCAGGCAGTGTGCGTAGCATGGGACCCAGACTGGCTGGGGCCTGTGTCTCATGTGGTGTACATCTAGGGCCCTGCATGTGAGACCAGTCCAGCATACACTGGCTGCAGAGGAAGCCCCAGACCTAGGGGCAGCACTGTGGCCCAGGCTATGGGACTGGATCCAGCCTGCAAGCCAGATCTTTGACACCCCTGCCATAGATAATTCTGTATTCAGAGAAAGGCTTAAAAACACATGCAATAAATAAAGTGTGGAGCTACATACATTGAGGTAAAAAAAAAATACTGCATAGATGCTCATGAAGTGATAAGTCCATTTTGTGTATTGAATGAGGCAAGTGTTCCATGGAAAAATATAGTGGGCAATCATGGTAATTAATAACTGCATCATAATCCATATGCACAAGGGGACCAAATTCAGGTTTCACATTCAAACCTAATTCTGGCATTTCCTAACTTGTGCAAGCTTGACTTCATGTTCTTTAAGAATGTGAGAATTCTTCTATAAATAGCATATAGATAAGAAACAGAAAGATGTTTCCTTCAAGTAGCATAATTACTTAGTAGCTAGACATGTCAAAGTTAGGCTGGAATTTAGGGAAAAAAAGTTTACAGGCCAAAACTTGATCAACCTTAGCTTTGTTGCTGGAGAATACTGCCATTTAGCAAGGAATACTGCCACTGACAGCAAGGAATGCCTAACTGAACATAGGACCAGTGTCACACAGAAGCAGTTAATATTATTCCCAACACTGAGAATGCAAGTGTACAAAATGGAAACAGGAACAGCCAGTTACTGCTCCTGCACATTTGGAATGGAGGAGAGGAGAAGAGAAATGAGAGTTTCTTTTAAAAGCATCTTAAACTAGGACACGCTGAACCTCAAATTTCTTTATTCAATACAAAAAGAGGTGTCTCTACATATAATGGACAAGTGTCAGCTAGAACTGCAGGGAGCAACTGGCTGAACATGGCCCAAAGAATAATTAAACACTAGTGGCATTTCAAAGGGGATGAGGACAGGGGAAAAGGAGCATATTTCCAACTTTTGATGCACTGATTTAAAACAACAAAATAAAACCAGCATGTCATACTCCTACCAGCTTGGCTTTGATAAGATAGGCATTAACCATTTCAGTACCAAGAACCATCCCAAGAGAAGGAAAAATCCTTTTCTGATTTAATACCTAATATCTTCATCTGTCACCATAAATGCTTTACAGAGAGGCTGTGAGGTGTTTAGCCACACACCAGGATTCTTCTCTACCGCTGCAGACAGCTGTCCAGTGATGGGCATAGTGCTAGTATGCAGGGCACTAGCTATGGCAGAGAGAAGGGTTTCATCTGTGCAGCCAGGTCCAACACCTAATGTTTGTTAAGATAGGAAAAGTCAGCAATTTCACAAACTTAGTAGAAATAACTAAGAGCAATATGGGCTTCTGTCATGTTTTGTAAGTGATACAGCTATTTACTGTTACTTAAGGTCAGCACAACATAAATTTCACAGCTGTAGCCATTTCAGATTGATTTCAAAGTCTAAGAGTCCTTGTTCTATGCACCCCAAATTAAACCAGTCCTGCTCATGCAGTGGTATAGCAACACCTTTACGTTTTAGAATAATACTAATTTTCTTCTCCTTTTTCCTAGGAGTCCTGCATCACCCCATGCTAAGGCATGTCACTTGCTCCTGCTATCCCTCAATAACCCTCAGGGCTATGGGTCACCAAACTTAGTCTTCCTAAGCCACAGTATTATCAATTCTGAACTTAGGACTTGTCCACACTGTGCTAAAGGCAAGACAGGAAGTGGATTAAGGCAACACTCCCTCTAGAACACATAATTAAATTGATATAACAGTGCCAGGACTATAGTTAAAAGAGTACACTAATTACCTTGTAAACCCTTTGGAAGGTCCATTGTTTTCACCAGCTCTTCTGCAATGTCAAAGGCATTCAGTCCACTTAGTTTCTTTTCCCAGAAGAGCTAACATCAAAGAAAACATGTATTCATTCTTGTAAAACAGAAAAATATGTTTAACACTGCAGACCACCCAATGGCCATGCCAAAGTATCCAGTTTGGGCACCAGAGCTGATATATCAGAGGGGCCTGATGTGTCTTTGGAAAGGGAACAGTTTGCATTACTAGAAAAAAAACAACAACAACAAAACCTCTCGAAGGTTGGATCCACTACCATATCATTTCTGTCCTGATTTATTAGCTTGAACGTTGTTTCTTTTTCTCTTTTCCAGACCCTCCAATGTTTCTAATCTTCCTTTCTGATGTGCAGTGCTAGGATGGCAAGCCAACACTGGCAAGACCTCATCTAAGAGTAAATTAAGAGGGGCTGTACTTCTGAGCTAACATTTCTTTTGGCAGGCTGACTTATTCTTAATCCTTGTTCTTTAGCAGATGGCTAAGAAAACTGTTCCCCAGCTTCCCTTTGGGAGTTGCTTCTAAATGGGACAGCAGAGTAATTCAGCTCTCTAGAAAATTAAAGATTAATAAAATAACTGCAATAGTTTGTCAGCAGATAAACTGGCAACATTTAGCAACTGCCCAAAATCGCAGATGTCTGGAATGAAGCTTTTCAGGTAGGGAAGACACGGGCCAATCTCGTTAAAAAAGGCAATGATACAGCGGGATATATGTTCAGATCATAATCCCAGACACACATTATCATTACAGGTAGTTGGATACAGGATTATACCAATTTACTTGACAATGCTTTCTTTCTGTGGCTAAAAATCGAATTCACCTAGGGTTAAGAAACTACCAACTACAAAGAGCCCGCAGAGCTCCACAGAAAGCTTCCCCGTCTCGTATCACAAGGAGAGCCAAATTATGGTTCCTTCTCCTTGGCCTGTCAAAATAACATCTGTCCGTTCTACAGAGAATAGGAGATTCAACTTCCAAATCACAGAAAGCAACATTTAGGCCTTGATTTTGACATCCAGTAGATATTAAACTCAATAGCTGAATGGCCTAAGAATTTATTCCAAAGTTTGAGGGCAGACCAAAAACTGCCTGACCAAAGTTAAAGAGAATATTGCAGCCTGTGGGTAAAATAGTCGGAAGCTATTCTAGCAAGGACTGCAGCACAGAGTAGTGCACAGGGCTGGAGATAAATAGGTAGAGGGTGCAGAGAAGGATACAGAAAGATAATGAGCTTGCAATAGCCCTCTATGCCTAACTGAGTTAGATAAATGGAACCATCCAAATGCAGGGAACCTCAAAAAACACATGCCTGGGAGAGATATGAAATGATATTTTTAAAACACAAAGAGAAATGAGGTGGGGTAAGAAATAGACCAATGTAAGGCAAGGTTGAAACCAGGGAGGCTGTGTTAAAATTATTATCTTGCTTGGGAAAAAAAGTCACTGAGGGGAGAATTCATTTCAAATGTATCATAATTCCTATTTCAGAAAAAGATACTCTGAGGTCGAGTAAAAGAGCTTTGAAATGCCTCTATTATGCAGCATTTTCAGTTTGAAAAAAAATAATTTCCCCTTGGTATGAAGTATATTGTAATACAGCTACAGCTTCAAGGAGTAGGGAACAAGAGTAGGCAACTGAAAAATTAGGTAAACAGTTGAGAGCAACTGAATATACCAACGACAAGTGAACACCTAGTTTCTAGAGAACTAAAAAGATGGGTTTACTGTAGGAAAGGATTCATGGAAACCCCATCAATAACTCTGCCGAAGTGACAGGCTGACAGTTCCAGGTAGCAGCAATGAAATGAGAATTTCCAACAAAGGAATTCCCACTTCCAAAGATTTATTTTTTACCAATATTCATAACTACATACATCCAAAACACAGGTTTTTGTAGCCTGTGACTGTATTAAATTAAATTTAAAGGTTTCCTTTTGCTTTGGATCACCTCTAGTTTACAAACATATAATACTTTAACTTAAAGTACAACTGGGTTTTGGCTGTTGTTGATGGCATTCAGGTACTGAGCGTGTCCCAAGACAGTGGTTCTCACCTTTATTACTCTCTCACCACCCCTCCTACCCCCTTACCTAAAACCCATGGTCCTCTTGGTAGTCGTGCTGCAGAGACATCTCAGCTAGGTCTATATGAGGGCTATAGATTGTACAGAAAGGACAGGGTGGGGAAGAAAGGGGGAGGGGTGGCGCTCTATGTCAGTAAGCAATATACATCGACCCTCATCAAGACGGAATCCAAGGATGAGGAGGTAGAAGGATTGTGGGTTAGGCCACATGGGGGGCAAGGAGAAAGGGATTTGGTGGTAGGGGTCTGCTACAGACCCCCACATCAAGGGGAAGAAAGAGATTCGGGGCTCCTGAGGCAGCTCTCGGAGACCATAAAAGCTAAAGAGGCGGTAGTCATGGGGGACCTAAACTACCCGGACATCTGCTGGGAGACACAGACAGCAAAGTCCCACCGCTCACGCAGGTTTCTAACCTGTGTACAGGGCCTCCACCTGACACAGGAGGTACACGGTCCCACTAGGGGGAATGCCATACTGGATCTGGTA